CACTGTGAACTTCAAGAATGCTGATGTGGGTTGTTCTCATCCCAGTAGGGGTGGCCTGCATCTCGGCTCAGCTCCCTGGGGTCAGCGACCCAACTGGACAGAAAATGCCACATGGCCCAGTGAGCTGCCAAGGGACAGTCTGCAATGGTTCATCTCTGCCCGTCCTGTTGGGCGGAAGGTGGAGCAGGTGAAGTGGCGAGAACCCCGCAGGGGGGCAGCACCAATCAGCAGGGTGCCCGAGGAATACCGCAACCTCATTCGGCTTTCTCTGGAAAATGGGGGTAGCACAAAGGTCTTGGCAGAGACCAGATGCTCTTCTGCTGTCCCCAGCACAGAGCCAAGAGCACACACTCTGAAGCCAGATGGCTGGGTGCAAATCCGAGCTCCGCCCCTCACTGGCTGGAGACCTGGGACAAGTGAGAGAATCTCACTGGGTCTCAGTTTCCCCATCTGTGGAATGTGCCTAAAACTACTTCCTAGGGGTCTTTGTGAAAATTTAAGTGAGCCCATCCATATAAATCACTCAGAACAGCACCTGGCACTTAGTAGGTGCCAGATGGGCGTTAGAGGTCATTGCATGACTCTGTTATATGAGATGCACGTGCACAGTAATTGTCACACCGAAAGGACACGGAAGGTGTACCAGCAGGACACGCGCCCAATCACACACACTGTGCATATCGGTCTGTGTGATGTTCACACGCACACTGTACCACATGTGCCCACACACACAGACACCACACACGCTCACACACACATCTGAAACAGTGCTCTGCATGCACAGGAAGCCCTTTCCCACTCTCCTGAGCCAAATCTGAAATCTGTGCTGTGTGCCAAACCGACTCCTTTCAAAGGAATTTTAAGGTGTGCATGGCTTCCATGTCTGGATTCGGGGGAGACAGCCATCAAGTCTGGGTCCACAGGCCCAGACGGTACAGCCTCAGAGGTTGGGCACGGCGCTTCTCTCGGGCTGGCAACGCTGCTCCACCATGGGATGGAAGGCCTCGGCACCAAGTGATTGGCAACAGCTCGAGAAGCTGAACTCCCTCAAGGCAGACACAAAACGCAACCCTGCATTTCACTTAAGATGGTCAAGAAATCAGCCGTACTGACAACAGGAGCTGTTTGTATTAAAGTCATTTAGATTAAACCCTTTCTCCTGACATGAATACTGGAAAAGCATAGTGTACCGTGTTTTAAAGGGATCTTGTTTTAAAAAAATTTTTTTTTCAGGGGATGGGAAGACATGGCTCCATTAAGAGCATCTTGGAGAATAAACCACAAGCCAGTTAGGAAGGGTCAAGGGTGGCCTGGGGCAGTCCACTGCCCACAGCTTAATCTCTGCCCCTGCCTTAAAAGGGAGGAGGGGGTCGGCTGAAGGCACAATCTCCTTACTGTAAAGAATGCAGTCTGGAAAACTGAAAAGCCAGGTGTGGCCATGTCCCAGGCCAGCTGTCCTGGTCAGGACCAACTAAACTGAGGACACTGGGCCGATAGCATTGTAGGCTTATGCTTGTGAAACTCTAGCAAAACCCAGAGACAAATGTCATAGCCTGTGGAGCTTCCTGGGTTCACAGAGGGCAACTGGTGTTTGCAAGGCCAAACACAGACACTGCTCAGCAATGCACAGCCTGCTCCGGACGCACGGCCCTGCGCTCGGAACAGCTACCCTGCTCCATGTCCTTCCATGTTCTAGTTACCTGCATGTAAGTGACCTCTGGGTGCTGCAAAGATATTCCATCTCTGGCTCTGGGCCATCAGTCCTTAGGCATTTAAAACCCAGGCTGCAGTTGGGCTCCTTGAGTCTCTACCTGGCCCTCAAAGCAGCCAGATGGTTCCAAAGGGTCTCCAGACAGAACAGAGGAGACACGTGCTTATCAGACCACCTGGCGGAGACGCTGCCCAGATGGTCCGGATCACTGGCCTTTACAGGGATCAGCTGAACTGTGCGCCCAGCTCTTGCCATGAAACCTACCTGGGGCTGGATTCTGATATGTCAGCAAGTACCTCACCAACTCCTGAAATGCTCTTTGGAGGGAGATTTGCAACAAAAACAAGGAAAATGAGAATGTGAGATGACACCGAGCTTGTTCCACACTTATCCTTCATCTGTTTCCAGCACAGATTGTCTGTGCATGGCTGCCCTCTGGAAAAGGAGCCAGGCTTCCAATAAGATGACTTTTGTTCATTAAAACTCCCTTCACATGTTCACCACAACCCTAACAGCAGACTGGAGTAGCTGTTCTCACCCTGGCTGAACAAAGGGGGACACGGGCCCCTCAGGCCACAGCCTCCCCACGGGGACACCGGCAGCAGCAGAGCTGGGCCTTCAGACCCCGGGCTCCGGCCCCAACTGTGCAGCAGCCTAAAGCCAAACACAGGTGTCTTCCGGATTACACGTGGACGGCTATTATCTGCTAACAACAAGGTCGGCTATGTCAAGGTTTCCCGAGTTCAGTAAAGACCTTCCAGCGGCAGTAGCTAGCAGGGAAGAAGGTGGAAAGGGGACCGTGCTGGGCAGCGGGAGGCAAGGGTGTGTTCATGCAGACAGCATCGATGTCGGGCCCAATGCCACCTGGGCAGGCCACCCTCCCGCCCCCAGAAACCCGCACAGACACTACACACCTGCCAGTTCCTCTTGCCAAAGGGGAAAAGTCCCTTTAAAAATGACCAGGCTCAGGTTGGCGATAAGGAAGAGGTAACGCAGGAGAAAGAGCTTCATACAGATTTTTGAGGATGGCAGGCAGGGGAAGAGGGAGGTGAGAGGCAGGAAGGAACGGGGGAGGGTGCAAGGGAGGCCCCTGGATCCCACCACCTCTCTGGTCTGCGTGCCGTGTTAGCAGTCACAGGGAACGAACAGCTCTGCAACGTGCCAGCCCTCACTCAGGAAGGATCCTGCCTCAGCCCTTCCAGGTTGCGCTGTAAGTACCCATCTCTGAGTCTTCTCCTCCCTTAGACTGGGGGCATCTCCAGGGCCCAGCACATGAGCGCTCGTTATCCAGGTAAACAGTGGGTCTGGAGTTCCTGGCGTCCCCCAGCTGCTCATCTGGTCATTGCAGACATGATGGAGACAGGTTAGCCTGCGTCTATTGCAAGATCCACAACTCCCATGGAAACATATCTATCCAGCCTTACATGCTACATACGGACCATTTTTATTACTGTAGATGAGTGTCAAATTAGGCTCAAATTTTTGTATAAAGTCTAAATATTGAGAAAATATTACTAAAATGCATAATAAAATATTAGCCAGTTCAATCTTTGGTCTTTCCATCTGCTTTGATCCAGGTTTACAAGAGCAAAAGTCTGCTATTTATCCCAAGCCAGATGTCATTGCCAGATGAGAGAGAGAGAGAGAAAGAGATCCTTAATATTCTTTCTCTTTAATCGAATCTGCCTATAGGGGCAGTCTCTCAAAAACTTCCCATCAGTACATCCAGGAGACAGATGTGCCTGGCACATGGTAAACAGTAAATATTTGTCGCATGAATTATTAAGCCAATACAGAAGACGGGGATGCCAACCTCGTAAAGGAGGCAAAGCTAAAAGAAGAGAGACTCAGGGATATTTTTAGCACGTTTTTGGTCATTGTTTTCAGAGAACATAAATATCTTGAGGGTCAGCATCATCCCATTGGAAGGCAGCACATCCCCACCCAGGGCTTCTGGTAGGTGTCCGTGCCCGCACTTCCTACGGCTGACCATGACTGGCGGTTGTCATCTCTAAGACGGGGCGGCAGCGCCATGCACCGTGGTGAATGACAGGGCCAGCCCTGGGGCGGCACCTGGGAAGTCACGGGTATGTCTGTAGCAGATGCTGCGGTGGCCCTGGCACAAGGGGAAGCAGGGTTGCAAACCCCCACTTTTGAGGCTTCCTGTTCTTATCTGTACCCAGAGTGAGACCACTCAGGAGGACGGATGCCTTCCTGCTGGGCCCCCCAAACACACGGCCTCTTCCTCCACGGGGCTGAGGCGACTCATTCACAACCAGGCCCCCTGGCTCTGCACAGAGCTCCCTGTGTGAAGCAAAGGCCCTGAGGCCCAGGAGAAGGGTATCTCCTACCTCACGTGGAGACTTGCACATCCAGAGTTTACAGAACCTCTCCAACCCCAGTCCCCCTGGCTTCAGCATCGTGACCACAGATACCAGGACAGGAGGACCATGGGCCTTCTGCTGTCCCCCAACAGGACAGAGGTTTTCGACCCTCCCTGATGACAGGGCTGGGAACGGTGCTTTGCCTGCTACCCCCCTGGGCAGCCGGCCCCACCACGTCCCGGCTGGGCTCACGGGGACTCAGCTCAACTCTCCCCAGTGGAATGAGAGTACCAGTCAGAGGCGGGAGGAGTAAAGGAGATGGTGGGACTGTGCGCAGGGTGAACACCGCTTCCCTCTGGGCTCCACCACTCTGCTCATTCCAGCAGCAAGCACTGGCTGTTGGGGAGAGCGAGAGAGGGAGGACTCCAGTCATCCCTCCTTCTCACGTCCCGCTGTACAAAGACAAACGCCTGAACTCCGTGATGGCCGCTGTCGTGCAGAGTCTCCCAGGCATAGGTTTTAAATGTCTGGTTCCCCAATCCTCCAATTTAACATGGGAAGTACTTATTCTGTCCCAGCTCCTTGGGCACGGGGGTCTACCAGCCCAAGATTCTCTTTAGTGTACACAAAGGAATGTGCCTCAACTCCTGGAAACTGCTCCCCTGCAGACTGAGGATCTTTCCAGAATCCCAGGAGATGGTCCAGGATGACCTGACACCACACAGCACAGGATCCACGTGTGAACAAGGCGACCAAGACATCCACATCAGAGTTGCCTCTTCCTGGGAGACGTTCCACGTGAGCCATCCTCTCACACCCTGGGACCTCTAGGGCATCCCCCACCCTACAAAAGTCCCTCTAACGTCAGCCCTCCTATGAAGCCTTCCCCGACTGCCCCACGCCCGCAGCTTCCTCCCCTGAACCTCGCAGACTCGACACGACCTCTGCCCAGCCCCTGAGGTGCACTGAACCCCCGGCAGGCACAGCCACGCCCAACGAGGCCAGGAAGCCACGTGGAGGCCTCCTCCTTCCCCCTCGGCCTCTCGGGGGCCTCGCAGAATACCCCACCCAAAGCAGGGGCTCTGAAGCCAGCTGAGCACACATGCGCGTGCATCTGGGATTCTGGCGTGATGTCGAGTCCAGCGTGGGGCCTGTGTGGCGCCAGGCGCTCTCGTGCACACCTTCCTGAAACACCCTGGTGCCTCGGGGAGCTGCGCAACGCGACTCTACTTTCCCAGACAACTGCGTCCTGTGTTGAGCTGTCACTCTGTGACGCTCCCCAAGCCCAGCAATGACAGGCTGGCGTGAGAACGTGTCACTAACACAAACATCAACACTGGCAAGAAACACGGGACCCGAGACATTTCAGGGAGGCGGCCTTTCCTCACCCTGAATCCACACCTTGTGGGTGGGGCCCTGGGACCAGGAAGGGGCTGAGGAAGGACACCCATGGTCCATATCTCCTTGGCATGCCCTTTCTGAGCTCTGTGTGCCTAGCATCTGGTGGTGAAGCCCCCCCACCCGGGGTAATTCTCAGTGGGCAGAAGCCCCAAGCAGGGTGCACCAAGTGCCAAGGCGGCCGCTGTGAAAAGGATATGATTCTCCAGTGGACGTCCAGCTTGCTGTCGATCTCCAGGCCGCGGGCTTCCTGCCGCTCTTCCTCCAGTTGCTTTGGGTTTGCAAACTGTCCCTTCTCCCCAGGGGATTCTGGGAAACTCTCAAAGTTGAACTTGTCCACTTGAATGGCCATCCTAGGAGAAGGGGAAACAGCAGAGAATGAATCAGCAGGGCAGTGTCTTCTACTGGCTGCTGGAGAACCAGCACATGCCCGCATGAGACCGTATAATGAATCATCATAGTCAATAACTCATAACAGGTTCATTCCAAGGAAAAGAAGTAATGGACTCCCAGGGCAGCACTGGCTTTGGAGCTGGTTCAACACACAGCCTAGAACCGGAGACACAGTCAGAGACCCCAACCTCGGAGAAGACTCACATACCCCCAGAGCAAACGTCATTTCTGGACCAGGACAAGGCAGACAGGATGCAGTGTGGGAAATCAGAGAGGACGAGAATCATTTAACCCTGGCGACCCAAAAGCTTCCTCAGCAGCGCCCCCCGTCATCTCTTCAGCCACATGTCTTGCTCACACACGCCACGCCCCACCAGCTGCGCCCCGCCCGTCACCTTCTGGCCTCCAAATCCAGAACCTTGCCTTGTGACACCCTCCCCTTCAGGTTTCTGCTCAACTATCACATCCTCTCCAAAGCCTCCCCACCTGCTGGTTCCAGCCCTCTTTACCTTCTGGCAGTTTCTAGAACACCCCAGGCTCTTCCTGCCTTAGCCTTAGTGCTCACTGCTCCCAGGTTGGGAGCTTCCTCTCCCGAACCCCCATTCTTGAGGCTGGAGCTTGAGGAAGGTCTTCCAGGCACCTCCCCTCGCCCCACCACCATGACACCATTAATCTCTGCCGTGGCGTCTATCACGAGCTGTAAAACACTTACTTGTGGGCTTCACTGTCTATCGGGTCTACTGGAGTTGAGCTCCCTGAGGGCAGAGATCTGCGTGGCCATGTCACGGTTGCCCAGGCCGGGGTAATGCCTGCACGCCGCAGCGATGCAGCCCCCAGACAAATGAACGAGGGAATGGAGCACCTTCCCGACACCCCGGGCCAATGCTCACCTCTTCCCCCTCGCAGCTGCCCAACCTCTGTACCTCGTCCTCGTTCGGCTGCACCCCCAGGCCCTACCGCAGCTGGGCCCGGGCCCTCTGATCGGCTGCCTGCAGCCGGCCCCCACGCCCGACCGTGACCTTCCCGTGGGCAGGGCTGTGTCTCACTGATGCTCGAGACCCTGCCTCTTAGCAAGAAGCGAGCACGCAGGAGGTACTTCATAAAGGTGTGGTACGTGCACGGATGAAAGGAGAGCAGGAGGAAGGGGGTTTCTTCACGTGAGGCCCCTCAAGTTCTGGCACCAATTGAGAGACAACAGAGAGTCAGCCAGAGGATCAGAGTGGGCGTGCAGCCCTATCACAGACGGTACTGTGGCCAGAACATTCCACCAGGCCCGCACATGCCAAGTGGCCTCTGGGGCCATTCCCCGGACCACTCAGGAGGGACCGCTCTTCAACTCAGGGTGTCTGCGCGTAAGACTGCAGCCCAAGCGGAGATCCTGAGAACCTGGCCGCTTGGAGCAAACTACTGAGCTGCCCGTAAATATACGGCCTCTGGCCAGGCAGTGTCCGGAGCTCAGCTGTCCCAGAGAGGGAGAGACCCGGTGTCAGCAGAGAACACGGGGCATTTCGTAACAAGAACTCTGTCTGAAAGCTACATGGATTCTCCTTTCTGACTGTAAAAGTAGACAGGCTTACTGAAAAAGGTGGAAAAATAGCAAAAAGCATAAAAAAGTAAAAAGGACTCAAGCCTATCTCTAACTGTAATACCTTAATTCTAGGCTCCCTTTCCAAAGTACTCGTATTTCAGTGTAGTTCAAATGATTCCATCTGTAGGTGTATAAGTTATTATACGTCTCATTTTATTCATGTGCACGCTCATAAATATATACATACCCTACGTTACACCTTGGTTTTTTTTAAGATTTATTTATGTATTTGAGAGACAGACAGCGAGCACAGGGGAGGGGCAGAGGGAGAGAGGGATAAGCAGACTCTCCACTGAGCAGGGAGCCTGATTAGGAGCTGGATCCCAGGACGGAGATCACAACCTGAGCCAAAATCAAGAGTCAGTCGCTCAACTGACTGAGCCCCCCAAGCGCCCCTTACCCCTTGTTTTACTTTCAATGCACTATGAACACTTCCACATCACCAAAAATCAGTCTGCAGAATGTCCCTTCGTGCGGCCGTACCATCGCTTACCTAACAATCACCCTACTTTCAGACTCTCAGAGATTTCCCAATTTTTTAAAAAATTACTATTGAAAAAAATCCTAAACATCTTTGTGCTTCAATTTCCTGTCCGCATTTATGCTGTGTGGGGAGCCCATATCTCAAAGCAGAGACTGAATCCAGAGGGCGGAACAGGTCAAGGCTAGTACGGTGGAGCACCGAGCTCCTTCTCAGACAGGCTCTCACGAGGCGCGTGCCCCCACATGCTGCACCCCTCCCATACCGGCCGTGATGGATCCTCAGTCTTCACTAGGAAGAGGCGACATGCTACCTCGCTGATGTTCTAATTGGCAGGTCTGAATCGCTCCTGAGACTGATCATTTTTTCAGAAGCTTATTAGCCATTTTTGGTCCATACTTTTCTTCCCCTGTGAGGTGTCTATGTGTGCAGCAAGAGCACCTCTAACTTCCCACTCAGCAAGGGCTCCACCCAGTCCCCCACCTCGAAAGTGGACTGAAGCAAACGAGTGTTCTCTTCAAGCAAAAGGTCAGAGTATTTCCTAGGTTTCACTAAAAAGGCCAATTTCAGTTCATCACCGGGTAACCCAAAAGCAACTAATAACTTTCACCTATTCTGGACCCCAGGCTCTTGCTGTTGAACACGAGGGAGAGAGTCCAGCCAGCACTCCGCATCCTCAGGGTCCGAACGCACACTGGATGCTGTGGCCACTGGGGTTAGATTGGTGTGCTTTTCTGAAGAGCTTTTTTGAACAATTTCTGACGAAGTAAGCATCAGACTGCATCATCCCCCTCCACCCTTGATGAAATTATAAGCCAGGTGTGCCCACAACACGGAAGGCGGAAGGAAATGAAACGTCCTGGACACCTGCTCTGCGCCAAGCCCCGTGCTAAGTATGTGCACACACATTCATCTGATCGATGACAACACTCCTGAAGAGGAGTGTGATTTGCTTCCTTACAGAGGCGAGGAAGCTCTGTGGGCATCAGCCCCTGCCCCATGCCACAGAGCTGGCCGCCCCACATCTGGGGCACAGACTCAGAGCAACTGTGTTGTTCTTAGCTTCGTTTGGCGCTCTCTTGCTCGGCAGAGCACCTAACGGGAAGTCAGCTTTTGCTCGTGCTGTGTGCAGAGCTGGCATGGGATGCAGAGCCAGGGACGGCAAAGCCTGCTGCCACATCCACAAACCACTGCTCCCCGAATTCACAAGAGCCTCCACCCCCAGTGCCTGTGACACACAACGCTGGCGAGCATCCTGAGGGCAGGACCCCTCCTTTCCCACAGACGATAACATTCAGGTACCAAGAAGCTGAGTAACTCACTAGGGTCACCCAGCTCAAAATCCCAGAGCCAGAATGCCAACTCCAGAAGCCAAGGATTATTTCCCCAAACCACAGGGAACACAGCCCCTAAGCATCACCACCCCCTCCTCCGTCCTCCGGTCCAGGACGGGGAGGGCAACGTGTGACTGGTAACCTGTCTTCCCAGAGCTGAGTCCTGATGCGTGAGCTCTCCACCTGCCGAAACCCGCTGTGTTACGTGAAGCGTGGGAGGGGCCCTCCACCTTGCTGCCCCAGGAGCTGCCCTGGCTCTGAGTCCAGCTACGTAACTGGCTTCCGCCATCATGGCTTGAGGCTGTTGCTTTCGTCAGGAAGCCACGCACACTGGGGGCAGCAGTGCTCCTGGGATGGGAGCAACTGGGGGGATGTGCACGGGGGCACCGACACAGCAGCAGGCAGAGAGGGAGAGAGACACCCCGCTCTGCCCCACCGGTGCACGGCCTGGAAATGCAGTCAGCAGTCCCGAGAGGGATGGCTGAGGACTCACACATTCTCATCCAGGCACAAGGGCCACCACGAGCCCACGGGCAGGGACCAGCTTAATGCCCTGAACGACTTCACGTCTATATGCTCAGCGAGCAAGCCCTCTTCCTAACAACAAGGAAGCACCAAGCCGTAAGGAGGCACGGGAGGCACCTGTCAAGGACAACTTCCCCGGCACAGCCCTCCTCACTCGGGCTTAAGCTCATGCCCACGGGACTCCTTTTATCTGGGGGGAGGCCACGCGAGTCAGAGAGCACTTGGGCAATCCCAAGTACAAAAGTGTCTAAAAAATAATTCAAAGCCACGGCTGAACCTCGGGCAAATCACAGCAAAGCTGGAAAACACGATCTTCAGAAAAGATAAAGAAAAGGAGAGGAGAGCGGGTGGGCCCAGGACCCACGGTGAGCGCACCTGCCCTCGCACGGCACGGCCTTCACCGGGGGCTGGCGCCGGCACGGACGTCATCCTTCACACGACACCTTGTGCTCAGGATGGCTCTGTTGTTCTTGTTGCTTGCTTCTACTGGTTTTTAGTGTTTTTCATTCTTATCTGAAGTATGACTGGCACGTAATGTTAGTTTCAGGTATTCAGCACAGTGACGCACACCGCCACACCCCCCCCCTGAACTCCCGCCAGTGTGTTACAGTATGACCGACAGCATTGCCCAGGCCCCACCGCTCATCTCCGTGACTTACTATGTTAGAGCAGGAGTCTGCACCTCTTAATCCCCATCGCCTACCTCCGCCACCCCCTCCTGCCTCCTCTGGCAACCACTAGCCGGGCTCCATATCTATGGGTGTTTCTGCTTCCTCATTGGTTCATTTTCGTGTGTGTCGGGGTTCCACATGTAAGTGAAATCCTATGGTGTCTGTCCCTCTCTGTCTGGCTTACTTCATTTAGCACAATCCCTCCTCCAGGTCCATCCACATGGTCAAGAATGGCACAGTCTCTACCTGTAATCAAGTAAAGACACGATGCTGGGCACAAGAGTGCGTGATCTATGGTCGGTGGCTGACCTGGGGCAAGAATCTGGTCTCTGGGCTCCCTGTCCAGGGCAGTCTGAGGAGC